TTGCTGAGATCGTCTTTCTTGTTTAAACTAAATTATCACATTGTATTGTGAATGATATTTTATGGACGGCTTCTCAATCTGACTATGTTTTTGCAGCAGGCAACGAAACCAATACATTTCTTAAAAAATGAAATTATTTTCTTTCAGCTGTCCAAAATTGATGGGTCGGTGGTTTCGTTTAACTCCGGTGAAAGTATTGTGCCCTTTGTCCACACTCAAAGTTCAACAGGCTGGCTCCTTACTAACAGTAAGAAAACTGCGCACGAATTTTTCTATTTTTCTGCACTATTCTGAGGGTCATGTTCCTCAATAAAAGAGAATTCTCCCTCCATCCAGTACAACCAATCCTTACCCATCTCGCATCCAACTAGACCTGACCCAATAGAACCCAGGAAAGTATGAATTGTACACGTGGAAATATATTTATTTTGTGAGAGTATACTGAAAGTTTGCTTTTGAAGTTAGACAAATTATAGCGGTCACATTACGTTTTTTGTTAATTGGTTTTACATGGTGCAGTTCAAGAAAATATTTGCATTAAAACCAACGCAGGAATCTGTCACAGAGCCATTTTTGTTTAAGGGAGAAAAAAAATCAGTAGGAGGAGAAATAGAGCAGAGGAACCCAGTAAAATTTTAAATTGTGTGTAAATGTCCAGCAGGTGTGTCAGAAAAAAGGCCAGAACGTGGCATTCCTTGGGTGGCAGTGTGCATATAACAATAATTGAGTTAGTCCAAAATTGACGCTTGTGTTTTATTGATGTAAGCTACCCCCAGGGCACTTCGGAGGGGGCGAACAGTCCAAAGAACCTTTCACTCATCCTGCAGGAAAACTGTTAAGTGTCAAAACGCAGGTCTGATCAGCTCAGAATACTTTGTTATGATCTATTTATTACAGGTAGTGATATATTTGTTGGAACCTATTTGATGGAAGTAGCCGGTAAGCTAGCAAGACCAGCCATCTCCAAGTCAGTACTGCGATCGGACTCCTCTCAGAATGTGATGAGTATAAGTGTGACTTTAATGAGTAAAGACGACGTCAAGGTATTAAATGGTAGGTGTAGTGTCGTTAGCCTGATAATAAAAGACATGTTTTGAACTTCTTTACCTTGCTGTAATCAAACAATAATCTGTTATCTCTCTCTGGTTACTCTATTGTACATTCACTTTGACAAAAAGAAAAAAAACAAGCCGTGATTGTTTATACTGAAGTCCGTTGTTGCTATGATGCGTTTGCAAATTTTGCATTCTCAATTGTGAACTCAGGACTTTGCTGTACGTAAACCTTGTTCGTTGTCAAAAACCAGAACAAAATACCCGGATAAGTCCAAAATTTGGGCAAATTCTGCTGTGGAAAATAGCCGCAATACAAAGAATTCAGCCTAAAATTACAATACACTTGCTCATGTGCCATTTCGTCTTAAGCATAAAGTATCAAAGTTAACAACGTTTCAAACTAAAGGAATGCAGTGCCAAACTAATTTAGTGACTTCACCTACTGACTTGAAGGGGGTCATGAAGCTATTTGGCGTGTTCGAAAAGTTTGTGCCCCCTCGAAAACGACACATCCATAGATTGTCTCCCCAAAAAAGCAAATGGGAAATGAATATAGGTGGCTTGGGAACTCGGAAAAGTTGCATTTCTTCACACACGCCTGGGGTTAGAGTTGATTTTAGCTTTGCAAAGTTAGCAACATACTTCAGAAACTCATTAATTTTAATTC